GCTGAACTCAAAGGAAATGATTGTAGAAAGAAAAACGAACAGCGTGCTGAGAACATTGTCTTGAGGGGTCCCCACGATTAGGGACTTGGAGCAGGATCCAGCAAAGCTAGAGGGAAAGAACAATCCAGATAAGTAGTGGGTAAATCAGGTAAGTAGAGTAACCAGAAAGCTAAAAGGGGAGAGACTCTTAAGAGGTGTTTTGTGTGTGTGCGTGCGTGCGTGCGTGCGTGTGTGTGTGTGTGGTGTGTGTGTGTGTGTGAAGAGGCCAAGAAAAACTTAAATTAAGAAAGTGCCACTTGCTTTCACGAGGAGGCCATTGGAAACCTTCAAAGAGTGTTTCGAGCACTCTATGGAGGCTGAATCCAAATTAAGAGGATTCAGAAAGAATCAGTGCTTGGGAAGTGAATGCAGCTGGTGTAGACCACTGGTTTAGGAGGGAGCGCTATGGATACCAGATGCTAGAGACGGAAGATGCAGGGAAGGTAAAAGAGAAACATTCCTGAATTTTAAATAACAACTGAAAACAAACCATTGAAAAGCTCAAATAAAACCGCTTTCCACCGGCATCCGTATGCCTGACAGTCATTTTCAGCGTGAGAAAACAGAGAAGTGAATCAAATGGTTATAATTTTTCCTAGTACACAGGTTCTTTCAAAGCTTGAGACATAGATTTGCATGTATTCAAAATATTTTCAGACCAATTATGGTAAAACACTATTGTGTTGAAAAGTTAATGTCTAAAGTTTTACATAATTACCTGTATTACCTGTATTCACAGTCAGGAAAGAAAAGGAGAAGATAGACTTTTATAAAGCATGAACTATCTGTTTTGTATCTGCATAGGTCCCTCAGGATGAATGGACAGGGTACACCCCTCGAGGTAAAGATGATGAAATTCCCTGCCGTAGAATGCGGAGCGGCAGCTACATCAAGGCCATGGGAGATGAAGACAGCGGGGACTCGGACACCAGCCCCAAGCCTTCTCCCAAAGTTGCTGCGCGAAGGGAAAGCTATCTCAAGGCTACTCAGCCATCCCTTACAGAACTCACCACGCTCAAGTAAGTGTTTCCAACGCTCTACTTCCGGTAGCCCGGCCCCCTGTATAATCACCTACAATCCGATCTTGCAGCTTCTAGCGTAAATGGGGCAGAAAACACCCCACAGATGGAGCACTGTGATGTACTGAATGTTCTATTGATTTTGACCTTGGGTCTGACTCATACATCCCAGTGCCTTCAAAGACATAGGCATCCAGCTGCGCCCTGCATAGAGCATAAGCTGAACCCCCAACCTTCCAAAAGAGTTTGCAACAATCCAGAACGGCCTCTAAAAAGAATTAGGATTTCTGACCAATGAGGATATCTGAGTATCCCCACTCTTGGACGTTGTTTAGCCACTAAATCTATGGGGCAACACTTCCTTAAAAAACTCTTGAATTTTTCAGATGATTGAGTAATAAAATAGAGTAGATTATCTTGGAGAAGGTTATAGAATGTGGCTATGCTTAAAAATTGGGTAATATGTGAAAATTCTTGGCAGATGTTTTTAAACTTGGACACTCGATATATATTATAATTTGTAAGACCTTAAAAATTTTTTTTTGTTTTGAAAAATATGGTTCTAAGTAGTCCTTCCTTCAGTTTGTGTTATTTGTAAACAGAGAACAGCATTACAAAAGAAACTACTGAACCTGATTATTGTAAGGCCTGATTTAATTGTTAATATTATTTCTGGAGAGCAAATCAGAGCCTTGGAACAGATCATGTGGATCATCATTTGGACTAAAAAAAGTATTATGGGTAATTAGTATTTTTAAGTGCCTTTGATTCCATATTTTGAGGAAATACATATTACTATTCGTGCATTTATATTGCATTACAAAATAAAATATTAAAAGGCAAAGTAAATAAAACAGAAAAAAGACCAAATCCATCAGATTGAGGAGAAGAAACTAGATTATTAAAACCCAGAATACTAAAAAAACAGCTGACTTCTATCATGGAAATGCATTCAAATAGCAAACTATCAATATATTATACTTTAAAGAAGTGACAGAGAGGGTCTCCTCATGAACTTTTCTTCAGAGGATCATGTGGAACCACTGTGGATCATTTCAATAAAAAATGAATACCAATGACATTAGAAAACCAACCCAAGAAAAGCAGCTCTTTCTTTCCTCCGGCTTCTGGTTACCCTTCCTCTTTGCCTTTATTACTGCAGGTGATAGTTTCCTAGTGTTGCCATGACCAAGTACCATGAACTTGAAACAGTACAGATTTATTATCTCACAGTTCTGAAAGCTGGAAGTCTGAAATCAAGGTATTGTCAGGGCCACGCTCCTTCTGAAGCCTGGAAAGAATAATCCCTCGTTGCCTCTTCCTAGCTTCTGGCTGTGTCCGGCCACCCTTGGCATTCCTTGGCTCGCAACTACAGCACTTTGATTTCTGCCTCTGTCGTCACCTGGCCTTCTACTTTCCGTGTCTTCGCGTGGTTGTCTTCTTATGACGTCAGTCATACTGGATCACGTTGGATCAATAATGACCTCATTTTTAACTTGATTAAATCTGCAAATACCCCATTTCCAGACAAGGTCATGTTCACAGGTATTAAATTTAGGACTTTGACATATCAGTGTGGGAAACACAACGTAACCCCTAACCTTGCCACACGAGGTAACAGTTGATCACAGAAATGGAAAATACAATAGGGTCTTCATTGCACTGTGGCACCCCTCACAGAGGCTCAGAAAAGAGCTGAGCCAGTCTGAAAAGAACTGGATTTGTAATAACGGCAGTGGGCCGAGGTGGTATGAAAATTGGGGGGGGGGGGG